TTTTTTTTAATTCAAGCAATTCAAACAATTTAAAATTTAAAATGCTGTGAAGCCTGTTGCAGTGGCGCACGTCTGTAATCCCAGGGTTCAGGAGATTGAGGCAGCAGGATGGCGAGTTCAAMGGCAGCTTCAGCAAAAGCAAGGTGCTAAGTAACTCAGTGAGACTCGGTCTCTAAATAAAATACAAAATAGGGCTGGAGGTGTGGCTCAGTGGTCGAGTGCCCCTGAGTTCAATCCCCAGTACCAAAAAAATAAAAAATAATAATAAGCAAATGAGGCGGGGAGTACAGATTCTTTTCTACCACAGTAGGAGTTTCCCCATACACATTCGCTACTGAAAATCTTAACCTCCCTCGCAGGCTGCAGTTCACACTCCCTCAGTCCACGTAGTTGGGATGGGGCGGGCTGCAGCAATAAGAAGCCTGTAGCCTGCTGCATTCAGCGTCCCGGTGGTGAGGGACGTCAGGACTGGACTGACAGCCAGGGCGGGTGGTGGTGTAGATAAGTGGCAGGGATGGCGGCGGGTGTCACAGCTGGGTGTCTGGGCTTGTCCCCAGCGGGCGGGCAGCTTGCAGTACCCGCCTCTGGCGTTCGGCACCGCCCCAGCTCCTCCTCCTTCGCCAGCTACTCCTTGGCTTCCCCAGCCGTCAGTAGCCACTGCAGCGGGACGAGTTGCTGCAGGCAGATCCTGAACCATGAGAGCGGCGGGCCGTGGGGCGCAACCCGCGCAGGCATTGCTGCTGCTGCTGGTGSCACTAGCCGGGGTCTGGTCATGGGCCTCCGCCTCGTGCCCAAAGCCGCCGCTCTTCAACGTGAGCCTGGACGCGGCTCCAGAGCTGCGCTGGCTGCCGGTGCTGCGGCACTATGACCCGGACTTGGTGCGCGCGGCGGTGGTGCAAATCATCGGGTGAGCCGCGGGCTCAGGACCTTGTCTGCGGGAACACGGGCGGCTGGGGTCCGAGTGCGGAAAAGCCCAGAGGCTCGCTGCCTTTGAGCTTTCAACCCAGATTATACTCCTCCCCTCCGTCTCCAACGTCTTCCTCTCCTCCTCTTCTAGGACTAGGCTTTGCTCTGGCGCTGAGCAGCATGGGGCGGGCGGGACTATCCGGCGCGGCTGGTTTGACTTTTAAGTCACCAGTGGCACCTCATTCTGGGTCAGGGTGGCGCGCTGTCACTCGGTTACTGAGTAGGGGACACAATCCACGCCTTCTTTGCAGGCCTTGGGGCTCCCCWCGCCTGCCCTTCGGGGATCACCCCTTCCGAGGTTTCTTTTTCCCTCTAGGACGCTGCTGATAGAGCTCTGTGGCTCCAGAGCTGTCAGCTCTGTGGGGAAACACAGGCACTTAACACCCGCCTCCCTGCACCCATCTGTCTTCTAAGCAGGTCAGACGCTGGTTTTTCGTTTCTAGAGACAGAGTCCCCAAGTGGGCCCTCACGTTGATTGGAAAGGTGATCACGGAGCTGGAGAGCTTCCTTCCCCARCCCTTCACCGACGAGATCCGCGGCATGAGCGACTTCCTGAACCTCAGCCTGGCGGACGGTCTCCTGGTCAACCTGGCCTACGAGTACTCTGCGTGAGTGTCCAATTCCTGGGCAGCTTGCTAGGGACTCCTGCCACCTAGAGGTGTGCTGTCAGTGAGATAAAAAAGGAATGTTGACTGACTACCCAAAACCTGCCGCATTTCCTCTTTGCCTCTGGGGATATCTGAGCAGCAGATCATGAGCTTCTAGAATGAAAGCAACTTTTCTGACTCAACTTTCCCTGTCCCCGAACCCCCTTTGTTTCTCMCCACTAATCCAGGTAGCATCCCACTTTCAAAACTTTGTTCAAAATGTACTTTTTTCAGAAAGTTTTTGAAACACAACCTATTCTCATCTGGACCCTTTAGATGCTGTATACAGGTAGTGGGTCATCCTGCACTCACTTGTCCTGCTGCACTCACTTTTCATGGCCTGTGTTCCAGAGTACTGTTTCAGAGTCTGTTTCCTCCAAMGCTGGGGTCACAAGGAACTTTGCTSTATCTAATAAGGCCAAACTTTGATCTGAGCACTGGACATAAGAAAGTATGGAATCAACACTGAAAGCAATATGGAGTGTGTGCTTGATTCCAGGCAAAGTGCAGAGGGACTCCTGTTAGTGGACTCWGTAACAGGTCCTGAAACTGAGAGGTTTGGCTTGGGTTCTGCCTTTAAGACATTGTTTTGTCACCTCATGTAGTAACATTTGGTAGTTCCTTACAGCTTCTGGCTGCCTAAGATGAAAGGGAAAAAAAGTTCTTGGGATAATAAAACTTTACTGCACTTGGTATCTTCCCAGAGCAAGTAGAAAGGGTAAGTTAAGAAGTAGGGTGACTACCTTCCTTCCTCTTCTGGAAAGTGTTTTCAGACACACATAAGACACAGGTCTGCTAAATTAAAGTGCTTTTAAGTTAAACTAAGTTAATCTTACCGTCTCCCTCTCCTACATCCAACTTTGTTCTCTTCTGGCATATGGCTTTCTCAGTGAAAAATCACTGACCRTTTCCACCCTCTTTTGGAGTCATTGTAGGCAGATTAAGCCAAAAGTTCTAATAAAAACTTTCTAACTTTTGGATCTCAGATTAAAGTATTTATTAAATTATCTACAAAAAAGACACTATTGTGCTATATTCCACTAGCATTAAAAAAAGGAAATGTTTTGTTCTCATTTCCGAAGTCAGGCTGTTTGTATCAAAATATTACCTGCATCTTATGGAGTCTACTGGGTTCCAGACACTTCATGAATACAGCTCCACTGGGAAGATGGTATTTTCTGTTTTGTGATGTAGAAACCAAGTCTCAGAGGGGACAATTTGCTGGAAGTCTGGTGGCTGGTATGTTCCAAAGATGCTGCTAAAAAGCACACCAGTCTCCAGGGCCCTGCAGTGCCTCTTCCAAAGCAGAACTATCTCCTCTCTTGTCCCTTGTGCTCTTGTAGTGCATCATGTAGAGTATTTGGAATGAGATGGAAKGATGGTTAGTTTGACAATTTTGAAAGATCACTTTTGAAAAGATTTTGAAACCTTTATTTTAGTTACTTTCCTATTTTATCAGTTCCGTTCCTCTTATAAACCCTTTGCAGGTAAAATTGGAAGCCCTGGAAGGAATTAAAACTTCACCAAGTTTCCTTTCTAAATACACCAAAAAAAAAAAAAAAAAAAAAACAAGAAGAAGAAGAAGAAGAAAAGAAAAAAAATTTAGTAATGTATAATCATTATAGGAAATCAGCAATACAGAAAAGTACTAGCTATTATCAGAGAATATGGATAGTGAGATGTTTTAACAAATCTCCTTCTCTTTTACTCAAAATAATTCTCTCCAACCAAGAGTTTTTTAGGATCTTTTTCTCTTAGTAGCTYTGTGCAACAAGCTCTGAGTGGAACAGGAACAGTACCAAGCCCCTAAAAAGCTGACCATTTTCCCAAGGGGACAAAATAAAACATTCATAGAACCAAATGGTTTAGTGCCATTGTACTTGCTCTGAGGAATTCATGGAAGGGAGATGTGAGCTTGGATTAGCTTGCAATAAAGGGTTCAATAGGAGCTGGGGCTGGGGCTCAGCAGTAGAGTGCTCACCTAGCACGTGTGAGGCCCTGGGTTCGATCCTCAGCACCACATAAAAATAAATAAATGAAATCAAGGTATTGTGTCCAACTATAACTAAAAAATAAATATTTTTTAAAAAGTGTTAAATAGAATATATACTGCCAAGCAGAGGAAGAGTCAGCGTTCAGAGGGCTAGATGAGCCCAAGATGGTTTGTTTCTGCATGTTTGCAACATCATCCTTGTGTACCAATAGCACAGGTCAACACTGAATGAACACAGATGAGTTATGTCTGGTTGTGTTCTTCAGCTTGAATTGTGAATCCATATTCTTATACAAAGATTATGGCATGTATGTTAGCTATAAGGAAGAAAAACTCTTTGAGGATTTTTAGTTGTAGATGGACACAATATCTTTATTTTATTCATTTATTTTTATGTGATGCTGAGGATCCAACCCACTGCCTCACACACACTAGGCAAGCACTTTACCCCTGAGCTACAACCCCAGACCCAAGGATTTGTTTAAAAAAAAAAAACAACTCCTTTTCCTTGTTCTTATTTGTCTCACTTATTCATGTTGGACTTTTCCCTTTTCTCAGATTCTGCACCAGCATTGTGGCTCAAGACTCCAGGGGGCACATTTACCACGGTCGGAATCTGGACTATGCTTTTGGAAATATCTTACGAAAGTTGACGGTGGATGTGCAATTCTTAAAGAATGGGCAGGTATGGTCCATACCGTATGATATAGAATTCCAAAACACCTTCTAACCCATGTTAACAGTCATTTGGAGAGCCTGGTATACTAAGTGTATTCTTACTATAAGAAACAAATCAAACCCTTTGGAGAAGCAAAACCAGGAGAAAGATGTACATTAATTGTGCATATAGGAACAAGAGTCATTTATTGTTATTGAGCTTGGATTTRAGGAGGTCAATCAGTTTCCTTAGGGAAGTCTCTTTTGGGGTATGATAAGTTGTTCATCTATTAGGCTAAATCAGCTCTTTCCTCTGCTTTCTCAGGCTGCTTCTGGAATAGGTAAGGGGCCRAGTATTGTAATGGCTAGGAACACCCAGCTTGGGGTCTGATAATCCTGGGTTTGAATCCTGCTTGGGTCATTTCCTCTATGAACCTGGAGATTTACTCATACCTGTTTTGCAACTCAGAGACCCAGAGAGGTTAATAACTGCTTTATTGAAAGAGATTAAGATTAAATCATGTGGAAGGTGCTTGATAAATAGTGGCCAAATAATGAATGGACTTTCACCTTTCAAGTATAATTTGCCCACACCACTCTTGTGTATAATCATTAAAAAATTATACTTATTTTATTTTCAGCATGGTCTCTTTAAAAGCATAATCTAATAGATACTATTGTCACATGAATTATACTTATTTTATTTTCAGCATGGTCTCTTTAAAAGCATAATCTAATAGATACTATTGTCACATGACTGTAAAAACTTAGCATTAATCAATGTTAATTGAATATACAAAGGATATCATTCCTATGAAATAATACAACCTACAAAAGACAGATTTTTRTCTTTTGGRACAAGGACTKCGTTCTCTTTGTGCTTAGGGATGGATTCAGAAATACTAAAAGCTTGTTTACTAAAAACTCATTTAGTCATCTGCTTTTACAAAGGTAAACTTTTTCTCAGAAAAATTTAAGATGAAATTTTCTCCTTTCCCAATTTTATTCCTTCACTTTGCTACAATTAACAATTTCAAGTCTAGCTGAAGATGTACTTCAAAAACAATTTTGCATAGTAGCAAGTTCTAACATAAATGCAGGAAATTGAAAATATTAAGTTATCATTAAATGAAGGGATAACTGTAATTGACAACTTTATGTTTTCTCCATTATTCTACAATGAGCAAACATTTGTGTGCGTGTTTTGCATAGGGATGGAGCCCMTGGCCTCATGCATGTGAGGTGAGCACTTTACCATGAGCTTCCCAGACCTTTCTTTATTTTTTCCCCCACATTTTTTATTGATACATTATAGTTGACATACCGATGGRATTTGTTGGTACATCATCACACATGCATACAATGTACAATATAACAATATAATTTGACCTATATCACTCCCCATTTTCATTTCATTTTGAAACAGGGTCTTGCTAAGTTGCCCCAGACTAGCCATGAACTTGCTATCCTCCTGCCTYAGCCTCCCAAGTCACTGGGGTTACAGGCCTGCGCCACCATGCCTGACTGGAAATATTCTTATAAATAGAGAAAATAATAAATGCAATAAAAATAAAYTATTTCAACTGTTCCTCTAAAACTTACCCTAACAATTGTCACTTCATTTGTTTCTGTTTGCCCTGGATCTCCCATGAGAAACAGTCCCCTGAGGTGGCTTTACTCTCAGATTATCACTGAATCTAGTCAGTGTACACGTGGGTATTAATTTTTAGCAGAGAATTTGTGGCCAATAAATTATTTTGCCAAATTAAGAACAGGTAATCTGCATAACAATTCATTTCTCATTTGTGTTTAGTGTTCATGATTTTTTTTTAGAGAGAGAGGTGAGAGAGA